AGTGGAACAAGCTTCGTATATTTATTGTGCGGATGCTTTCGTGAAAACATCAGGCCATCTCGCTATGATCTTTGTGTGATGTACAGTACAAGAAACAGTTCATGATGTTTGTGCTGTCTTCAGGGTTGGATTGGTTCCTGAAACATGTCCACAAACCCTTTGGGTACGCAAGTGATTGCAACTTGGCCCATGAATACCTGGTGGCAGTTGCTTTTGTTTGGAGGGGGTGCGAAGTCTGAAGTCTTAAGGTAGTGGCTTGGAAGCCCCACTGATGGCTCTCCAAATGCTGTTCAAGGAGAAAGAACCTTTGATCACTTATATGCTCCTTTGTTCAATCAAACTTGTGAGGTCAGGTCTCATTGATGAACATGTCAAACTCAACAAAGGTCAAATTCTGAGATTGACCCTGTGGCCCAGAAGTTCCTCAGAACAAACTTTATGCGGCCGCAACTGTTGCTTGGCACACATGGGAGTTCCAGAATCTGTTTGTGCAGAATTGCACCTACCTACCGTTTGCACCCAAGGGAATGTGATGATGTATTGAAGAAGGATATGACTTCGCTCAAGAGGAAGGCCCAAGTGCTGTTGAATTGGTTGCACTACAGTACCGGGTCTTAAACACATATCTTCTCCCTGAGGTTGCCCTCCAAGTTGCAGGGTTCCCCTGCCAACCGTACAGCCTTCTGGAGCAGCGTGCTTGTTTGAAAGATAAGAATGCAGCCCAATTCTACGCTGTGGTGAAGAACCTGAAGCAATCACAGCCTTGCGCCACTCGCATTGAATTTTGTCCGCAACTCCAACTCCACCTAGAGTCATCAAACAATACAGAGTGAGACAGAGCTTGAAACCCTTAAGGCCGCCATCCTGGAAAACGTGGGTGGGCCTAAAAAGGTCCTTGATGAAGTCATGGCGGTCTTGAGGATGCAGCTGCCAGAGCTTCTTGGCTGCAAACTGTCAGTGTGCCAATGTTTGGTTTGAAAGCTGCAACACTTCTAGTGCACCAATAGGTACACCATCACATGGCTGGAAATCGACCCGTATCTTGGAACACATTCAACAGATTGGGTGTTACAGTCTGATGGAAATGAAGACAATGTGATCCCAGGCAATGGTTTGGGGCTCCCATAGCTCGGAATCGGATCTACATCCTTCTGGTCAGGACTGATTTGGCTTTGAAGAAGGCAACAGTAGACTTCGCTCACTTTGCATCTGGGATCCGGTCTAGCCTCTTCATGCAATCTGACACGTCTTGGCACCTTGGAGGAACCTATGTCCTATGTATATATTCCTATGTACTATGTAGTAAGAAACAATGTACGATGCCTTATTGTCCAAACCACCTGTGCGATTTAAGGCCGGATTTGCTCTTTTCGCGTGATCACTGGGTGGTTGCAAAAACCATGCAAGCTAGATGCCTTCGGCACAATACCATGAAAACCAAGTACCTCGGCTCCATCCTATTGTCGCAACTGCAATATTTGTCATTGTGTAATGGTGTTAACTTAGGCCAGCCAAGACAGCCAAGTGGCCAGGGCTTCACAAAGGTTGGGCAGCCAAAAACCAGGTGAATGTCTCAGTGCACATGAGTCTTTTGAATTTTTTAGTTGCACTGGCTAGATGCCTGTGATGCCCGTGCCAAGGTGAAAAAGTCCGTTGGGCTCTTCAAGAAGCACAATCCTGGCGCAGCGAAGCAAGTGACTTCACAAAGGGAGCTCAAGGCTGACCCATGCGCATGTGTTACCCTATTCATTGATTTGATCCCTGTGGAGGCCTTGGATCTACTTTGCGCTCAGGAACCAGGTTTTATTGCGGTGAACACGTCTCAGAGCATCCACCGCATGAATCCAATCTACGGTGATGACCATCCACTTATGTGCCTGACGTTAGATGCCCGGTTTCTTTTTCATGCTCACAAGTTAACTTCTTTCCACTGACAAAATCAGCAAATCGAACAAGGCCTGGGGGTGCCTATTTGTTGCTCTGCAAGTCCCAGAACAGGTACTTGACTGGCAGCTGTGAGGCATTTAAAACATTGTATGAAACCCTAAGTTTGGATGTTGGCAAATAACAACCCGCAAGCCTAGGAGTGGAGATGCTACTATTGATGGGTATGCCTATCGATACAATTCAATGGGAGGATCTGTCCAATCGTGCAATTTGATCGCACCTATATACGTTTTTGAGTGCTCCAAACTTGTTTTGTATATGTCCTGCTTGTCCAGGCACTCGCAAAGCTCGCTGGGAATAGCATGGCAATTCGCGCAGTGATGGTAGCGATCATCATTGTTCTAAAGGCACTGCACCCAACAAGGATGCAGGAATACTTGAAGTGACCCAACGAGCTTGCGCACAAGGGGAAAGGGAAAACCTGCCCTTTTCAAACAGTTAAATATTATATAAGTCTGAATCTGTGTAGAAACACTGATTGATTTTTATGTGCAGTTGTTTGGCATGAGGGTTTCTTTGGGCTTATCCAAAGAACGTGGGAGAGCTATGGGAGTCCTCTCACGCTATGATGAGGGGCGTGATGAGTTGTGTCGAGTTGGAGCAATGGGAGGGCTGGGTCGATATGATGAAACCTCTTCTGAAGAAACGGACAGTGACAGTGAGCAGATCCTAGATTGCACAGTTATTTCATTGAATTAATAAGCAAAACATGGCAAACATTTTGACACAATTTCTGAACATACTAATAGCTAAGGAGTGACATGGAATCTGATGCATCTGAATCCTGCGAAGAGGAAGATGGCAATGGCAACTGGGTTTCCTTAGAGCTTCGCCACCTTGAAAGCTTGTTTGACTTGAATGATTCACCGAACGAGTCGACTATTGCGATGAATGGCAGGAACCCTAGAAGACTGAAAACACTACTGGCACACCCTCCGTGTGCATGCCAGTGTCGGGTCCCATTTGGCATTTTGACAAAGATATGCTCATCGTTCTGGTCTTTGAGAAAGGAAAGTCAGGACGCAGTTCTGTGGTCACTGCAAAGTCGGACAAGGGCTGGCACTGCATGGCACATCGAAGGAACATGGTTCTTGATTGACATCAAAAGCATGGATTCGATTACAGTAAATACTTGCTTTATCTCGCTACGACCCTGACAGGACATCATATCTGTCGAGAAGCCTTTGTTAAGTATTTGGGTATTGGAAAGGAACGGCTTTCCAGAACCAAGCGGCAGCATAAAGGCCTTGATGGCAGGAGGTTGAACCAAGGCTTTGTGGCAGCACGCACGGAACAATGAACCAAGTTTTCTTTTTCAGACTTCCCATCATAATTACTTTTGCAACATTGCCCAAGGTACAACAACTCATCATGCCACTCAGACTGCATCATGCAACGGCTTCTTTGCCCACCTCTACTACACCGCTGGTGAGTCTATGGCAACATCGCTGCTTGCCTGCACTCTCATGGAGGTGTGCATATCAGATGTTGAGCTGCGTAAGGTTCCAAAGTGTCTCGACCGCTGATCGAGCGCGATGTGATGAAGCTTTGCGCGAAGAGCTGTTGAAGAACCTAGTGGACCGCAGGCTGTTCGGGCCTTCACAGCAAATCCTGCAGCTTGACCCTGGCAGACTGCCGAAGCGAGAGCTGCCTCCAGGAAACGTAGCATCATTGTTCTTGATGTTTCTTGGGTACATTCGTGCCTCTGGACTACCACCGGCCTCCAAGTCCACGTTCTACAAGGTGGCCAGGCAATGGGGACAATGTCTGGTCTTTCGGCGAAGGTCAGATCATACAATGTGTGCAGAGTGCCAGAGATTGAAAACCGCTATTCACCATACTTCAGACCTCTCCTTAGTTGTTTGTTGATGTGTTTGTTGAGTATTTTTGCTTTGCATCAGCACCGTTGAAACAAGGACTTTGGTGCGCACACAAAGCTTTGCGACCAGCTCCTCAGCCACTATCACAGTACATATCTGGACAGAACCATCTACTGGAGTGCGCGGGACCGCGCTGCGTCACAGCGCGACCTCATCACGTTGATTATAGACTCCTTTGACAAATCCAAGTTGAGCTGTCCGCACTGGCCACTGAAGCGAACACCAAAACGAGCAATATTCGAGAAATTTCTGCGACATTTGGTTTAAATTTGTTTGCAAATGTGCTCTTGTCTCGAACGTTGAAACAGGAGATTCCAATCCAGTGTCTTCCAAATGCTTGTGGAGTGAGGTGCAAATGTCATGCTCACCGGAGTCATATGTCACGGCTGGGGATGCTGGCTATATTTGACAAGCCATGAAGGCATGGGATGCGGCAGCAGCTGGAATTGGGAATGTGCGTCTCTCAAGCACTTCAGATTGTTCAGTGTTCAGTTTGTGATTATTGTATATGTTCTACATGTTTCTACCCATAAATAATGGTGTTCATTGTGCTCTGAGGCTATGAGGAGTTTGGAAAAGGTGTGGTCAGCTTGCCGTGAGACAAACCGCATGTTCCCACGGGAGTTTCACATCATGAAATTGGTGTTTGAGCAAAACACTCTTGTTGGCATTCAGATGATGTTATGCTTGGCACTGACCGAGTGATTTAAGGTTATTTCTACAATCGGACAATACAGTCAAAGAAATCCGGAATACCTTTTCCCATCGAATTCTCAGCTGCTTGGTACAATCCAATGTGTTCCGGCACTGTGGGATTCACCACATGGTGCCGGGACACACCCATGAAGACATCGATGCAGTGAGTCTGGGCTGCACTGTGTCATTATCAATAGTTTGATATGAAGCCAGAATTGAACATTGATGCTAGTCTGGCTCCATCAAGGTTTTCGCTTTGCAGTGCAGCTATGAAATCAGCACCTGATGTGCAGACTCCCTCCGATATCCGCCGCCGGTTGCTTCATTGTTTGACTCCAATCTTTCAAAAACGTGGATGGGCATTTGGAGTGGACATCGTCAGCACGGCAAGTTGGTTGCAAGATAAGTTTTCAGCTCTTGGAACAAATTGGTGTTTTGCAGTCATTCTGTTTGCTCGAGGTTCGTGATTGGTCAAAAATGGCTCCTGACACAGTCACCTTCAAGAATTGCTTCAAGATCAGAAAGCAGGATGATGACAAAGATACAACTCCAGTTCCACATTCCTTCAATTTCATGGCTCGCCAAGATCTCCCAAATCAAGGCCTTGGAATGGACAAAGTTGAGCGCATTCCACGTGCCATGAGGAACCCTGCAGAATCGCATAGGGACATCTTTGCGCTGGTCAAAAGCAGGATGGCATCGACTAGCTTGGCCCAGGACCCTTTGCTTTGCATGCCTGGATCACTGCAGGCAAAAGCTGAAGAGTTTATCAAGCTGGCGAATCGTGAAGACTGCCCCAAGCAAAGCTGGAAGATTGAAGATGAACGACGGCAGGAGTTGTCATTGCTTTGCAAGGCGATCAAGCGAGACTATCCTCACATGCACAGGGCCTGTGCTTGGTATGCTTCAATGGATGATGCTGCGAACCCTGCTCCTGTGCCTGACTTGGCCTTTCTGAGGAGTGCTCCATCGATTGAGCCTAATCTCCATGAGTTTCGGCTGGGGGAACGCCAACCAGAGCTTTGCCCCCATGCACTTCAAGTTGCTTTTCGCCGTCAGGGTTGATCAATCAGATATTTGCTGATTGCTTTGGGTGCCCGGCAAAATGCCTGGTTTGGGGATGGAAATCCAAAAGGCTTTGAGGTGAAAAGGCTTGGACCTGTTGTATCAAAATTGAATCACATTGCATCACATTGCCTCAGTTCATATTGCCTCAAAATTGCTTACCCACTGCCAAGCTTCGGCCCAATGACGATCAGTGAGCAGTTCAAGATAGAGCCGAAGGCGGAGTCCGGAGGGGGCTTGCCAGATGGTGAATCAAAGGCAATTTCAGAATTGTCAGCGTACTTTGAAACAGTGGCTTGGGATCAACCTGGCCCAAGTGGCTTGTGGGGTTTGCAGCGTTTGCGGACTGAGGTCATTGGACAAAGAAATTTGGGTGATCATATCATCAGCATTTTCCCGGAAAAATCTCAATTGCACCAGGCGCAGTTATTTTTCATATGCCCGCCTCCCCATGAAATGTGCTTTCTCGAGGCCATTGATGAGCTGGTGAACACAGAGCCGCCTCTAAAGCGCCACTTGACCCTGGCACCAAATGCCAGCACCGATGAGTTCTGGCTTGGCTTGGGTAGCTTTGATTACACCCCGGAAGGGAAGAACGGATGTCGGAGGTTGTGAAATTTGTTGTTTTCAAGTTTTCAAGTGTTGAACACTGTGTAATTGTACAAAACCATTGCCTGGCTTGCACCCTGCCAGACTATCCTTCGAACACACAGTTCCAAGCGCATTTCAAAGACTTCTTGATTGGAGGGTACAAATCGCATTTTGATGCAGTGGTTTGCAAATTCCCGTTCTCCGACGGGAGCCGGTCTATACCACCGCACACAGTGGGCATAGTGGATGGCCAAGCAAAGATCCTTTTGATGTGCGCCATTGTGTGCTTTGCGAAAGAGATCCTTTCACCAGAACAGATCTTGCAGGATGAAACTTTGCAGGCTACTCTGAAGAGTTTCAGATCCATCAGGTGTTGCTATATTCATTGTGAAAGCCCAAGCCATTTCTACCTACAGTCTCTCAGACTCTTATGTTGCATCAAGATGTCATTGATTTGCGTTATTTTGTTCTGTGTGAATTGAGATCAGCACTCGAACCAAGAACTGGGATACACAACGGCAGAGAAGACGAGCCCTTCTCCGATCACCATCATGGCAGACATTTCTGAAGCGATCAAACTGCACCGGCGCATGGCCCCAGGAAAGGTGACTTTGAGGGATGCGATGACCAAAACCGTTGCAGAATTCAACAAGCTAGTGACGCTTCGCCGGCATAGAATCGACTCACAGCGAAAAGGGCTGATTTTTAACCTGCTCCTTGGCAGCGGTTTGTTGTCAAAAGAAGCATGTGCACTTGTTTGCCCAGTCGCCTTGGTGTGCTTTGAGGCTACGGTGTCCCTCGGAGATGATGACCATCTTGCATGATCATTACGATGACTATCCACACCAGTGCTCAGGCTAGTTTGATTTGTCCTTGATTGAGTGTTCTGGTGTGGCTTGTCACTCTTGGACGCAGGGCTACCACACGAATTGCTTCAATCAGAATACTATGTCCCCGGATCAACTTTGCGAAAAGAAGACCCGAAATTCAAAGGCAAAGCTATCTTCGAGGAAATTTTGTCTCCTTCTGACACTACGGTCGTTTGCTGGGTGACTCGGGCGACGAAGGACAGGAGGAATCTCAGTTAGGGGATGTTCAATCGCAGGCATTAGGGATGTTCCAAACGTTTGTTTGTTGAGGACTTTGCACGCAGGGTAGCCAAAGAGGCATCTGCAAAGGCAAAGGCTGGGGTGTAAATATATCACTATGTATTTTGATGGTGGCGTGGCATCATGTAGTGTAGTCCTTTCCGGACAGCCTGTACCCTGTGACCCTGTGCAGAAATCGCACCAGCTCGATGAGGATGCCATGATTCTCTTGCATGATATTTCATGCTGCTGGTGCTGGATGAAGGAGAAGCTGAAAGTTACTTTCTCCTCTGAGATCGTCGACCAGCTGACTGGTTTGTGGGAAGGAGGGCAGCTTTTCTGAAACTTAATATCTATACCAAAGGGGTGCATGTTTGTTCGCCAAATGTTTTTGGCCGGGGGTGATTGGTCGCCAAATGTATTTGTCCGGGAGTGATTGGTGGCCAAATTTTTTTGGTTGATAAATTCTTTATGTGGAAATGATTGGTTGCCAAAAAACCAATGGAGGCAATCAAGGGTTTTCCAAAAACCCCGTCACAATTGCTAGGTCAGATTTGGCAGGCCGCCAAAAAAAAGCAATCAAACTCCCAGGCGGAAATCCAACTTCAAAAAGTGATGGGGTTTCCAGAAATCCCGTCACAATTCTAATGGTCTGAGGGCAGGTCAATCAAACTCTATGCTATTTTTAGACGTCTCCAGTTTGATTGATGTCTTCAAAAACCAGGTTTTTGTGATGGGGTTTCCAGAAACCCCGTCACAATCTGAAGTCAGATTTTGACCTCCCGGGTTTGATTGGTTTTTGATGATTTTTATTGATTTTTATGTTTCAATTTATTTTTAAAGTCGTTGTATTGTTATTGATTGTTTTATAATTGATAGTTGAATCTAATCTAATATATAATTTGTTTGGATGGGTTTGTGTTAGTTTTTGTGTTCTATGTCATAATTATGTTGTAAACATCGCGGTTGCCGCTTTCTGTTCTTTCATCATTCGTTGATTGAAGTTTAATAGTTCTCTTCTTGATGTGCGTCATAGTTCGATGGTTAATACGGATTGCGTTTTTGCAAGCAAGGCATTTGGATACGGATCTCCAAACTGTTATGAAAGCCGCAGAAAGCGATTTTGATTGGCAACGTGTGAGCTTTGTGTTGGAGGCAGTCGAGACTCTTTGTTGAGACTCTGTGTTGAAAGTTGTTCTCCAATGCTTTCAATCTTGATCCTGTCATAACTTTTAGGGTGTCCACGGGTCCTTGCAGTCTTTCGTCTTGACAGTTTTCTACAGGCCCAAGGCAAGTGCGTCAACGACTACCTTGCCAAGCACCAAGATGCGGCCAAGAATGCTATGCTGAAATCAGTCGAAGCAGGATTCGCTTCATGGCTTGAAGACCTCAAATATGACCAGGCCCAATTTGAGGCTGACAGAATTGTGCCCCTTGGTTCAATCATGGTGTCCCTGTGGTCAAATATATGGCCGTTTTGCAAACCTCCCATGTGAATGTGATGCATGCGCGCGTGTGTGTGTGTGTGTGTGTGTGTGTGTGTGTGTATGGGTGCTCTATGATTGTTTGACTTTGTGGTTGTCTATTTAGTTTCTGCAAGGTCCGATACTGAGCAGTCCAAGAAGCGAGTTAAACTCTTGCAGCAGTTGGAGGACTCGGATATTGTCTCTGCCAGATGTTTTTCATATTTGCCTTCAGCAAATGGCTATGGATTTGAATAATCTACCATTTAGCGCAGGCATGAACATTAAAAAAGACTTGGGCACACCATAAGAATGTACAAAGCACCTTGCAGGAAGCGCACCAAAGATCGTGGCAGATTGTTGCAAAGTATTTGGAGGAGAACAACACCGTGTTTGTGGGCAAAAGTTCCGATGCTGAGAGCACAGTATTGCCTGCGTGCCGTTCTTGGATCCGATCCACTGCGCAAGAACTTGGCAGTTCACCGAACGATCATTCAATTGTCTTGATCCTCAATGGGCCCACAGTTGGGGTGTTCTCAGCTGCTCAGAAGAGCTTTTTCATCAGCACTATTGCAAACGTGCTAGCAGACAATCCACTCAATTCTATTTGCTTGGTGGTGCATCCAAACCGTGCCGGACACAAGGATTCCAGGCTGTCGTGCTTGGAGTTTTGGGATCCAGACTAAACATTTGTCATAGTGCTTTTGATGGATTTGTTGACACAATTTAATCACATTGCCTTGATGATTTCGATCGGGTTATTCATAAATACTAAATTATTTGATGACACAAGTTGCAAACACAAAAAGCTTGTGGACGATGTGTTTATTTCAACTGTCAGGAAGGCAAAGAAAGAGGAGGAAGAGGATCGAGTCAAAAAGGAGGAGGAGGAGGACGAGGGGGCTTCTGATGATGACAAGGCTGCCGAAGCAGGTGACGACGATGAGGACTTCTTGATCCGTGACATCAGGTACAAACTGGAGATTCTCGGCTTCTTTATGTTTAGTGTTGCGAAAAAGTTCATTCAAAGGTGGATGAAATAGCGCTTTATGTTGCTGATGGCTGAGGACTGAGCTCTCTCTCAAAGACCGCGGGCTGAAGACTCGCTCAATAACATGGGTCTTTGAACCTGTGACTTGGGTTGAACTAGTCACCTTTTTGCCTTGAGGAAGGGTTTTGTGTATGTCTGGAGCTGTGCTTGGAAACTGTTGTGAGGTTAGCGTGAAAAGCAACTCATGTTCTTTTTTGTGTGTGTTTGGGCGGAACATCGAACAATAGAACCAAGGAGACAGTGTATGGCAAAAGGGATGGAACAATGCCTGGAATTGCCATCATCAGTCGGAATTCGGGGAACCTCTTCAAGCAAACCAAAGGATGGAAAACAGGTACAATACATTCCGTACCAATGCTGGCTCGCAACTCGATGTACAAGCCAGATATGGCAACTTGGCAAACTCACAAACAAGACTCCCGGTGAACTTCCTGTTGAATCAACTTGCTTGTAGTGCATTGCAAAATCCAGGAACTTTCAACACACTCAATATTCATCCATCGATCACTCCTGTTTAGGGGATATCAGTGACTAACTTAGTGACTAATTAGTCTAGTGTCCCTGTGAGTCTAATGAACAAGAGTGTCAATGTAAGTGTAGTAAGGATAAGTAAGGCCCCTAAAGTCTGATTGAATAAAACTCGATTAAGGATTAAGTACTGACCAACCAAGCACCCTCCTTTGACCAGGAGCATCCTGTTTTCCAATGTTCGGGCTGGCTGTCCTGTGAGGCATCGCCGGGGAGGACAGGAATGCCTTTGCCACACCTGGGCCGAGCATTCACCGATGTCCAAGAGATGCGCCAAGCACCTCACATTTATTTTGGAATCTCAGGTTTTGCAGCCAAATCTAGTTGGGAAACCAGCACTGTGGTACACTGAGGCAGCAGGAGGAACAGGATTCATTCACGAAACGCTGAAGTCATTCTCCATTCCAACATCCAAAGCAACGATTTTGGTGGACCTCTATGGCTACGATGGTGCCCTGGCCATGGCATCCCTGGAGGAGACCATGCCCTGTCAGGTAAATGTGTCTTTGAGAGGTGTGTGTGTGTGTTGAGGGGGGCTACTTCCTTTCGTGTCAGGATCTTGCTGATGGCAAAACATCCGCTTGTGGAACAATGTGCTTGGACAACAGTGGAAGCGACATCATGTGTCGGCTTGGGAACACTTTGTACTCTTCGGCTCGGGCTGGGCGGGTTTCCCTCACAGGATTCCCAGACATAAGCCCGATAGTGGCCAGCATCAAGAGTGGAGCACCGACAAACTCAGAGAAGACCTACAAAGTCACATCGCAGGTGGCAAATCGTCTTATGATCTTGCAATCTCTGGCTACAAAGTTCATTGAGGAGCCCACTACCAAGGACCGTGCCGAGGCAGAGATTGCAAGTCACAACGAGCGCTTCAACAAGGATGGCCAGTATCTTCTGAGTGAGTCGACACTCACTCTGTATAGTAATACATAAATAACTATTGTCATATTGACAGTTGAGTTGTAAACATTGAATCCTGAACAGAGTTGAGGAAAATTAATGTTTCTCTCCAGTCATGTCATGTTCCTTCACATTTGGGTTGCCGGACATTCAAGGAACAAAGATGCCGAAGCACCCCAAGCTGATGAGCCTGCAGCGAAACGTGTCAAGCTTGAGGAGTGCACTGAGCAGCATGTCTCTACTCTGAAGAATGTGAAGCTTGAATGACAATCATTGCTGCAACAATACTGTATGCTCTTTTCTTGTGATTCCGTGTTCGTTTGCCCGCCAAAAAAACGCACAAGGAAAAAGTTGGCTTTGAACAACATCTGCGATCTTATTTTGGGTGGAGAGAGTGGAGATGAGCTGATTCTGAGCAGCAGGGGCCGAAATCAATTCCTGGATAAGAGAGAATTGCTGCATGGCCCAAACGTTTGATTTGGTTGTCCCAAGCCCTATCAGCCTGAAGTCGTTCCACTGCAACTCAGGTTTTCATTTGGTGGAGGTGAGTGGCGAGATGGAGCTGTGCCTTATCTCTAATTGAGTTCTTTCTCCAGAAGCCTGATTCTGTGCAATGCAAACTAGCTGTCTAGCTGCTAGCTGAAATCTAGGATGCTACCGAAGTCATGGAGGACACCGAGGGGCGCTGGTTTGCTTTCCACCCCACTGAGACTGACCTCATCATTCTTGAGAAAGGTACAGTTCCAGAGCATCTTGCCTCCATGGAGTGCATCGACAAGGCGGAAACCTTGAAAGCGGTCCTTGCAGAGCTTGCTGACAATGGCGAGGCAGCTTGATTCCCCAATGGGTAATGTGCAAACAGCAACACCATGGAACATGCATGTTATGTCGTATATCAGTCATGCAAGCCTCACATCCCTGGGTTCAGGTGAAAGTGCAGCTAAGCCACAACGAGGTGACGCAATCAGGTATCCAGAACACCAAACAGCTGGTCTTTGTGCTTGATGCTGTGGGTCAAAATCCAAAGAAGAAGAAAAAGGTAGCCCTGACTGTGAAGAACTTTGGGGCCCATGTCAATGTGAACAAGCTCAAGTCAAACTTTGGTTCTATGGAGCTCGCATGGAGATGCAGGCCGCCCCAACATTGTTTTTTGTTGGTTCTGTGTTCTTTGAATTGTCTCATGCCTGAACTATGCTTTAAAACATGTGCACCCCCGACACTGTGCTGCAAAATCCTTGCTGATCAGGCTGGAATGCAACCACGGCGATGGAGTTAAGGTCCTGACGCCAATTCGACCGTGCATTTGCACCAGGGGAATGCTGGATCTGGCAGAGGCTTCAGTCCGATTGATGTAAATGATTCACAGTGCCTCCTGTTTGTGGAAACACAACGTTCAAAGGCCTGTCATAAGACTGTCAATTTAAAGTCTACCAGAATGTGTTTTTCCTCAAATCAAAACCCCTAATCCTTGATGTGACTACCCCCGCTACCCCATCTTTGTTGGGATATTGTGTGGCAGTTGCTTGATGGGCCAAACAGGGCAATTTTGCTGAGTGTGCACAGACCGGGCTCCTACTTTTGCGGGATTTTGTGGGCACGGCAATCCAAATGGGTTGCTCAGTGAGGGTGGCCATCTCAGAACCAATCTACTACTGAGGGAAGATTGGAGAGCTGGTGGGCTCTTACTGAAAGACAGAATACACGTTTACAACGCTCCTCGAAAAATGGAAGCACACCTGTCACCTGTTGCATCTTTTGATCTTGGAACAACAGTTGAGTTGTGCCTGGACCAACGATCTTGCAATCATTTGCATCATTTGCTTCTTCTTGAAGCTATTTTGAGTGGGGAAACGCTAGCGCCGCATTCTTCATAGGGGCATGGCCATGAAGGACGATAGTGATGTGGAGGAGGTTCCACTGACAACTGCGCTCCGAGTGCCGGTCACTTGACTTTGGTGGTTAGACAGGTCAAGTATCTGTCAAGTATTCATCTACCTTTTGGTGATCTGATGCAATGCGATGCAATCTGATCTTTTAGGTTTTAGTAGCCCGAAACATATCAAGTATTGTTCATCTGCCCAGGCATTCAGCTTGGATAATGTCCTTCAGGAGGGGGCACCGAACCCTACGCCACCGAGAACGACAACGCCCTTGCCACCTGTATCAGCTGCAAAAGCTGCGCCAACGGCACCTGCAGCAAAAGCTGCTGCAGCAAATGCGTCAAGTGCAGCAAGTGCGTCAACAGGCATTGGAAAGTGTTTGGTGGTACAGTTGTTGAATGATGAGCATTCGCTGACTAATGAAAAATTGCACAATCAGTCATATGTCTTCCGAGATTGGTCCCATTGGTGGGTCCCTGTTTTGGAGGTGCTGCCCCGTCTTCTACACTTCATCGATTGCCACCACGAGTTCGTGATTCGGACTCGTCTGGGGAGAAGAAACAAAAGCCACAACAGAAGAAAAAGAAAAAAGATGACAAGCCAGATGCTGACCACAAGCCTTTGTTTGATGATGAAGACGAGGATGATCAGGATGAATCAGGTGGTGGTGGTGGTGATTCCATTGACCACGAAGCAGAGCGTGTGCAACAAATGCGAAAGCCGGCTGCAGCCAAGAAGAAGCCATCAACACGGCAGAAACAAACACGAAAGAAGGACTGGACCCAACAAACAATTCAACTGTTCTATCTTGTGTTGCCTGACCTGTTTTTCCACAAGTCCTACCCATTGGCCCCTGGATCCATGGACAGGATGCAACACTGGATGACAATGAAAACGCAGAAGAAGAAGAAGAACAAGAACAACAGGATCTTGGAAGTAGTATTCCATTCTTCCATGCAATTGAGGGAAAGAATCTCAGCAGCATAGTGCTTGGCTTTTTTGCCATGTGATGGGGTGTGCCGCTATGTAAACTTCACATTTGCACCGGCACACCAACCAGCTGTCAGGACTTCTACGCCATCGAGTGTTGTAATGCTCACACCTGATACTGATTTGGACCATACTGATGTCCCTGACAACCAACTGGGCTTATCACCAGCCACTTGGCATGTCTGTCAAACATAATTTGAACATGTGGTTTTTGCTCTCGTGGATACCCGCTCCATTTGCCGTTTGCCCTAGGATGACCTCGACGATGGACTGGAGGATTTGCTCAATGGCGATGGTCTTCCTGAGAATCACACTCTGGATTCGCTCAATGGCAACAACTCACATGCCCAGGCCCGAGTAGATATCCGAAAAATGTATATCTGAATCTCAATAGGTCTTTGCACAACAGGCCAATGGCCTCAACCATTTTCCCATCAGTAGCTTTTTGATTTTAGATGAAACATGTCCTCTATTTCCGGTTTTGTCAAACCATAGGGAGGGGGCAAGATATGAACCGACTGGAGCTGCAAATTTTGACAATTGCAAAATCCTACACCTTTGTCGATCCTTGCTGCTTTTCTACATGCAGGAAGCCTTACATCGATCCTTTGCTATGGAAGACGATGAAATGATGACAGCACTTAACGAAGCTCAGGCTACAGAAAAGAGATATGAGATTAGGTTGATTGAACTTATTGTGGAACATATGTCGAGTTTCTCAATCCTACCTTTTTTGTGTAGCAGGCTATGAGTGATTATCCTGCAGAGCTACCTGCGGACACAAACCATCGCACTGTGCCCAAGCATCCTCAAGAATCGCAAGAATGTAAATTTGTAGTGTGCACTTGTGTGGAAATATGATGCACAACATGCTTTCTACTGTGCAAACATGGCTTAGCTGAGGAATTGCTTCAGCGGATGTTTGACAATCCGGAGTGGGCACAGGGGTCATCCGATCTTCTTGACCCGACGCAGGCTACGCTGGATCAACAATTGATCTACCAGCCATGGATCTACCAGGAAGATGGCAGTGCATGTGATGTCCTAGACACAGAGCATGGTGTGAGAGCCACCCTTGAGGCTTGCGAGCGTGAGCTCAACCGGCAGTCGCTCTTTCGTGCATTTGGGAACACTCCAGCCACTGATGACCAACACACAGAGATTGGCCCAGAGCTTGGAACAGCCACAGCAGGAGAAGATCAAGAAGAAAAGATTCCTTCACCTGCGGATGGCCCTGGGATGCAAGGAATCGATCTTACAGAGACACCAAAGAGTGAGCCTGTGATGTCATCCCCAGAACCGTCACCACATGCAGAGCCAGGGCCCATGGAGTTGACACCCAAGGCCAAGGCTAGACCGTCCAGGCCTAGGCCCAAGGGTAAGGCTAAGGCTAAGGGCAAAAGTTCCAAGAAAAATGCCAAGACTGGTCACTCCAAGCCAGCTAAGGCGCCACGACAGGCCAAGGCCAAACCCGCCGCCAAAGCCGCAGCCAAGAGCGAGGACAACAAGCGGAAAGGACCACTCGAGAAGAAGTTGCACAGTGCCACTTATCTGAACCAGAAACATCATGCAAAACTGTAAAGCCACAGTGAAACTCTCACTCAACAGCTCCAGACTGGACTGCTAAGGTATATTCAACCGCATGGAAGAAAGCAAAGTCCATGGGAAAAACAAAGGTGGACAGTGCAGAGTTTGCTTGGAATGCGCGGAAACAGCACCTTGGATTGTCTTATTTTATGTTTCGTGTTGGGTGTGCATGCACATATCCTCAAGAATTCCCAATCCCGACACATTTATCATGGCTCAGGTACATTGAAGCCAATGAGGATCCCCAAGATCCTGCCATGGCTTTCTTCTTGAAGCCGTTTAAAGACGGCTGATTTGCATCCAAGACTCGGGGCATCCCAGCGACGCGACGCTGGATGAGCTATGGGGAAAAATGCTGCGGTGCTGGTTGGGCGTCCATGTGTGAATGAACCAACAGCAGTGAAGCACAACATAGTACAATATAGTCTTCAAGACCCAGATCCATGTTGGAAAGGATCTGGATAGGGTTGGAATTGATTAAAGCTTAAGCTTTATTGATTAATTTGAGTTAAGCAACTCTGGCTCAGTGTTGATTAACTCTTCACTCTCCGACTCGTCCTTCTGCGGCTTTACCGGTGCTTGCCGTCGCGCGGTCACCTCCGCATCCAGCAGCCGGTCGTCGCGGCGATTGGGATTGAAGCGGGCGTTGCGCTTGTTGTTGTTCACCTGGGTGGTTGAGCGGGTGGGGTCCACAGCTCTCCAGTATGCACGCAGCTTGCAGTTGCAGCAATCTTAAGCATGTTTTGACTTGCGTTATCATATGTTATGCTATCATAGATGTTGTCCATGACAAGGATCCAACAAAACCTCTAGCATTTGTAGTTGCAAGATTTCAAGACTTTGCAGAATTCAAAACACGTCCAAACACAAGACCGCTGTATCCGCTGACCGCTGAGCCTCTTAGCAGCATTAAGCAAATCCCAAGTCACCCAAGCCATCTTCACGCCTCGTTCTCACCTCTGTGGGCGGTGAAGAGAACGAGTGGCATAACCAGGTGGAACAAGGCTCTGGGTGGCAAAC